GGCTCGACGAAAATGCTTCCATACAATTCCTCGAATCTGATTACAGTTACAGTTCAAGCACCGTTAACGGTATGTTTTGGGAATGGCGTGAACATTATAACGTGAGGGCAGAGTTGAAAGTTCGCAATCATTATTGACGATGCGGACGGTATTTGTTTGTTTACTCTAAGCGTACAATAACGTAAACGTAAATTACGGTTTCTGAGATGTTGGATTTGGCTGCATGCGAAATTGTCAGAAAAGCTGCCTCCTGGAGATGAGCAGTCACCAGATTTGTGGGCCTTCCCCCAAACACACTAATTCTACTGCATGGAGGCAGACATCACACCTTCTTGGATGTCTTCAAATTCGCGACACATCCATTCCAAGCAGTGGATTAAGCCATCATTGCATCAGCACCGTGCCCGGAAAGACTCTTCAGCCCAGGAAGATCAGCAGATACTGAAAGCGCGCACGCCAGCTCATGTCTTTTTTAGGCCCCACTCCTCTGTGCTCTTTTCTTTCGTGCCGGTGGTTCGCGGGGGCGAATTCTAAGTAGTGCTTGAGTGGCTGGTACAAGGGGCGTAGTCTGGTTGAGGCATTGCACCGTGTAAAGGTCACGTGCACGCCTTGTGCATGCTTAACGCGGGGTGTATGCCAAGGGCGGGACTTAGGTGGCCCATGCTGGTGGGTAAGACCAGCTTGGCCCAAGATTTACATTGATGCGCTGCCAAAGTGGCGCGAGATAGCCGTGGGCTTGCATCGCGCACTCTTACAATGGGCAATAAATTACAAATGAGACTTGTACTCAGTGAAAGCTCTGCTTTTTTAGGCATGCTTTCGCATAGATGAATCAGCAGTTATCCATCCAAAATTCAAGTACTTCGATGTTACTGTAGTCATATGATTTGGGCATATGCTGCATTTTTATATGCATATGGTTGTACGCTGCATTTGTATTGATGCGGGAACGCCCGACGCGTCAGCTTTCCTGAAAGCGCCGGCAAGAAGCCCCCATCAAGGCTTTTGTAGAACGACATGAGGGTGTTCAGGCTTACAAGCTCTTTTGCTATTTACGAATAATCTGATCATGATACACTGATGACACTCATCTCGCTGTCAGTGAAATGTGTACTGCCGGCGGGACATCGTTTGGAGGATCGAGGCAGCTTGAGCGTCTCTTCGTCCGTGCTTTCGCGCCAACGTTCTAGAAATCAGCGCCAATAAAACCCAAGCTATAGCCTTCGGAGCTCGCCTGAGTAGGCGAAACATTCCGGACATTATTGCATCATATTCCACCTTGGCTCTTCCTCCTCGCGCGGAAATAAGAAGCCTACGTGTCTCATTTCGCCATGTTCTCACCTGGAACAGCCATCCTTTGCGCGTGGAACGGAGTTGCTATGGAGCGTGGACCGGTCCATGGCATCTCAGAGATCACACCTCTGCAGCCGTCTACAAAATCCTCATCACTATCGTTTTTCTGTGGCAATTCTGGCAACGTTGCGCGGTGTTCGGAAGTGGCCCAAAGAAACACCTAGATGCACTTTAAAAGATGCACAGCTTTCCATGTCAGGTTATTTGCGGTCGGTTGCAGCCTCGATCACGGCCCGTATCTGCTACGGAGGCTTGGCCGGACGTGATCGGATGAGATGCACAGATAATATGTGCCGCGTCCTTCATATAAGACCTTACACGTCATTGCTAACCTGACATTCCCACCAGCAGGTTTCTTTTCGACTCGTTTTGTCATGAGCGGAGTGCAAGACGCGATAACCATCTGCACGCGCCGTTGTCTCCAATAGACACGGGCAGGCGCCGATGCTACGTGAGCGCCTGCAATGTGTGATGCACTGCCGCGCCCGAGCCCCCCCCCCCCCCCCCCCCCCCTCCCCCTCTTTCTCCTCCAGCCACCAGTACAGTGTTGGGATTGGCCTACGAGAACATTCGTATCTCATACAATCAACTGGAACGTTTGTGAACTATGTGTTATTCGAGCACGTGGTTTCCTCGATCCATTGCCAGTGTTATACGTTCTTGACTATTTGATGCTGGACGGTGATAGCCACCAACCGTGCAGATGTCCAAAGCTGGACAGTGCAGCACAATACCGTGTAATGCGTTGCAGCTTAGAAAAGAAAGAGGCACCTCACTACCGTACATACTATGTACCTACTGAGTGAGCCCTTCCTCTGGAATATCACAATGACCTTCAGCGTCAAACACTTCAGATCCTCACGGCCTCTTACGGCCTCCTTTCACTCCAGATATGGAGCTCGTGCAGCACCGCTATCCCTGAATAAACCCATTCTTTTATTACTGGAGCTCTTCTAGATCATAGCGTCGTTGCATTCCTGATCATGACCGGACCTTCCTTGCCTCGTCTCTACCGCCGAACATTTACAACCACGACCATGTACAACCGCACGTATTGCTGCCGACCATGTACATGACAGCGTGGGCAAAGACTGTGTTCACCCAGTCTATCGCCAGACTAGGTGGGTGGCAGCCCACCTTGTTCACCCGGTGGCACTGGCTCCTGTCCTCTTGATCGGTGCAACTCTAAATTTTTGCGTCCAACGTTTTAGATTTGTTGGATCTTATCTCAATTTTAAGCATCCTACCATCCTGGGCCATTTATTTATGACTTCGTTCATGACAGTCCGCGCTGAAGCCAATGCGCGACCTCTCCACGCACCACCATGTCGTTGGATGATTTGTGGCGTTGCATGGCAGATATTCTGTTCTAATGGTTTTCACGGTTTTCTGGGACAATCTCAGTGATTACACCATCAGAAAAGTCATGGGGTTGAAGACCTCATCGAATGCATTATCAAGGAGGCATTCATACAGCACATGGGAAATTGAATTACGTCGCAGAATGAATGGCATGTGCCAGCGCTTGTCTTCAGGGCGCCCAAGGCAAAGGTTACTGCAGTCTAGGCGTTTTGAATGGCGTAACATTATTCAGGGAAATGTTCTAGACTTTGCCAATATCATCGTTGAGTATGCATATTATATGCCATATTGCAACAAACAATTATACAACTTTTCGCAAGTCGGAATTCGCGCAATTCCCGAGTGACAAAAATTCGAACCATATCTTTATTTACGTCCATAACGCACGTGAGCTTCGAGCAGCCATATGCCATTAATCATTTCTCCTATTCATCCTAACCTCATGTCAAGCGCGCATTATAAAACCTCACGTGTGCAGAGCCATATGCCTCATACGTCGTTCCACTTGAAAATATAGATAATGACACCATGTGTAGCTCTAATCACAGATCACTGCATAAATTATTCTGCGGTAGCTTAACCTTCAACATTGAAAAGAAGCTCTTCCGCCAGTGCACACAGACGCCTCATTAAGCCACAACCAGGGGTCGCCAGAACTTGAAGCCAGAGGGCAAGGCGATGTTTTTTGGGAGAGAGACAGACTGCTGCTGTGAGCGGACAAGACAGCTGATTAGAAAGGTCAGTCTACTCCAATAATCAGACCACCGTCCAAGTGTAAGGTGGGGGCGCACCGCAACATTACAGTGTGTCGATAGCCCTTCTTGCTGGGACCGGCAACGCCCCTGGTCACGGGCTTCACAACGTATTAGTCAAGTTGTTCCATATGATCTTATGTTGCAAATCATGTGGCACATCATTTAAGATCACGCCAGACCACAGCTCCGATGTTATATCAGTCTCCGTTATCCTCCCCACACCTGCCACCTGTTTCACTTGTTTGCAACCTGTACTCTATGCTGTCGGCTTGCTGTCGCCGACCATCACTCAGACTGGGACTCTTTTAATGCACCTTTCAATCAGCATCGTCAGCTGACATCTGTATCTTTATCCAAACCTCACGAGACAAACTCCCCATCACGGCGCCGAGTTCCATCTCAGCATAAGACGCGGTAAACATCACCAAGATCATCTCGCAGCACCCTCCCGGCCGCACGCAAGATGGCAGCGTCATCTATACGCCCGCTGCGACTGCAGCGCCACCTCATCAAATGTCACGATACCACCGCCACCGTAGCGTTCGGTAACTCCCACCGACCATGGCGCCATCAATTTTCCCACAGTGGACAGTGGCGCCACAACGGTGGCGCCGCCACGTGCGAACGTCAGCGCTCCACAGCCTCGTCACTCAGCCCCTGCAGCGGCGCGCCACCAGCCAGACCTCGTTGAGGCGGCCGTGATAGCGCTGGATGAAGTCGTACACGGCCACGAAGTACTGGTCGGGCCTGTAGCAGAGCCGGAGCGCGTCTAGTTCGGCGCGGAACGCCGTCACTTCATCCGCCACGCGGCCTGGCTCGAGCACGAATCCACCCACCGTCTGTACGTACACATGCAGATCGTGCACGTACGCCAGGCTGGTCGGCGGCTGGGGACGGCGGGCGGCACATCAGAGAGGCGGCAGCTGGGACGGGTGGGCACGTTAGACGAGCGGGGCTGAGGACGGACGGCGGCTGGGGATGAGCGGCGGCTGAAGACGAGCGGCACGTCAGACGGACAACGGCAGGGGACAGGCGGCGGCTGGGGATGAGCGACGTCTGGGGACGGGCGAGCACGTGAGATGGTCGGCGGCTGGGGACGGGCGAGCACGTCAGACGGGCGACGGTTGGGCACGGGCGAGCACGTGAGATGGTCGGCGGCTGGGGACGGGCGAGCACGTCAGATGGGCGACGGCTGGGGACTGGCGAACACGTCAGACGGGCGACGGTTGGGCACGGGCAAACACGTCAGATGGCCGGCGGCTGGAGACGGGCGAGCACGTCAGACGGGCGACGGCTGGGGACGCGTGGGTACGTCAGATGGCCGGTGGTTGGAGACGTGTGGGTACGTCAAACGGGCGGGGAATGAGGACGGGCGGCGGCTAGGGACGTGTGGGTACGTCAGACGGGCGGGGAATGAGGACGGCCTGCGGCTGGGACAGGCAGGCACCTTAGTTGGGCGGCATGTATGACAGTATCGCATAGTCACAATGGGCCGTAGTGAAGAGCATGGAGCAGCGGTCGGCAGTGAGGAGTTTAAAACAAAGGGCACTGGGCAACACAGGGTGGCGGTGGACAGTGGTGGAACGTGGACGAAAGGGGTGAGATATCAGTGGGAAACAACGGAAATAGGGGCTGAAGTTGAAAGCGGATATCGGCAGAAGACAGTAACAGAGAACAGATCGAAACAACAGATTAGGAGTGCAGGAAGCGGCCTCTATGTGTTGTCAATGTGAATACATACATGAGTAATTTTTGCAACTTACGTACAAGAGTGGCGAATTGAAATAAGCAAACATATGTAAAACTGTTGATATCGATTCTGCTGCACGAATGAGATTCAAAAGATTTATTAGAGCTGCAGGGGTGGGAATATTGCGGAACTGTCAGGAACGGAGACCGATCAAAGCTCCCCAAAATAAGCTCCGATATGTGTACATTGGATAACGGTCACATTTTCAACCAAAATAAACGTCCCTGTCAATTCGATCACATTTCATGTTAGCGTATCCAGACCTACTCTGTTACATTTCCGCTGAACCTAGCTGCGATCATGACCTCGCCAAAACAACAAAAAGGCAGTCACATCTGGTATCGCCAATGCACGTTTTATTCTGTTCTATTTTTAGCAAGACATAATTTGCATCGGTTTTTGATGCGTTTAGACGTCTACATCTCTCCACCGCAGCATTATCCAATAAGTAAGAACAGGTATCCTGTGATTGTCACACCCAGCACCACGTAGCCAACGTTGGGTGTGCGTTTGGTGTCGCACTCAAAGAGCTAGTTACCATCACTTGACGTCACAGGCCACCGCCGACGGGACCAGTGTTGGGCGGGTTCTCGTGTCAACGCTCGGAGAGTTAGTTAACCACCACTGACGTCACACTCACCGCCGACGGGACCAGTGTTGGGCGGGTTCTGATTGTAGCCGTCTCGGCAGGTACATGAGTGACGTCATACGGCAGCTGTGTGTTGCGGTGCCGGCACGGCCTCGTGCACGCGCAGCACACCGATGGGTCGAGTGGCTTCTATCCCCTCCAGGTGTGAGTTAATTCCTGCACACCGGTGTTGGATAACTTAAATCAAGTGTAGGATTAGGAAATCAAGGTGTCATAGGAAATCAGTGTCAAGGGTTTAACGGTTAAATGTCGGTACTAGACGGGGCGTGTCGAACTTCTTCATGGTCACGACTGAAAGTCGCAGCGCTATCACATGCTTTCAGGTGGTACGATGTGATTCAAAATGATGATGGTGCCAAACAGTGGCTTGTACACTGCCCTCACTGAGGGAAAGACATTCAACAAACAAGCTGTTCAAAAGAAATAATCCACTGATCATCCACTGTACCTTAAATGGCAAAATGGACACCCTCTGCAGTACCAAAAACCATTACCTGACGTCATTTACATCAGATGGGACATTCTCTATAGCACCAGCACATAATACAGTCAGGTTGTTCAAACCATGCTTTCTTACAAAACGGAAAAGTTCTGCCGACATCGGCCGGCACGTGACTGACCTTGCCTGTAAAGGTGAAGCGGCATCAGTCCCCGCCACATGGCCTGAATGCTGGAGTCGCAGCCGTCCATCCGAGATGTGGCGAACACAGCGTTGTAGTAGTGCCGCTTCTGAATCCCGCCCCTGATGCTCCGACAAGCACCCTCAATTGAGGACACTTCCAGACCTGCCGGCGACGGAACTGCCGTTTACCTCCGACACCTACAGCCAAAGTGCAGAGCTCACCAATTGGGGTCTATCGAAAGAGGATGAATCGTATGCCTAGAGTACGTCACGTAAAATTGTCAATTACGCGCAGGATTACGTTCAAGCAGCAGGCCGCTTCCACGCACCACGTTGGCTCGAGCTTTAAGCCGATTTTTAAGTCTATTGCTATAAATTCGTAGGCAAGCAGGGATTTGAAAGTAAAGCAAGTAAGCGAAAAGGAAACAGGGACAATAGGAAAAGACAAGTCAATGGTTTCAAACTCCAGTTCAGGCGTTCTCAGCGAGAGCACCAGCCATTGGGCGGCACCGGTGTCAGTGATACTCTGCACGAGTCGGCGGATGGTTGTCCAGCGTGCGGTTGGTAGGGCGCGGCTTCCTGCGTGCTTGCCCGTTGGTTGGAACCGCTCTTGCTCTAAACGGCGTGCTGTACAGCCAGATCTCGTAGAAAGAAACGCTTCCGAGACTCCGTGCTGGAAGTTTAGAAAGGTCGGTTTTGTTTTGAAAAAGCATTGGTTGACAACACAACCTGTGGTGGTGATATGATGCGTTTATCTGTTTTGTTTAAATAACGCGCTTTGTAGAGTGACGCATTTATCAGCGGGCAGTGTCCCCGGCCCACCAACTTGCAGGTGCTGGTCCATTATGAGTTCAAAATTATAATAGGGCAACCAAGCATCCCTCATTTGTCTCACTGGTCAGCCCCTATACGCCCCTGCTGACTCCTCGCATTCCGCCGAGGTCTCCCCTGACTTCTTGTGATGTGCCGAGGTCTCCCCTGGCTCCTCGCGCTGCGCCGGGGTCTGCGCCACACTCACCTGTCATACTTGGCCAGGTAGAAGTAGCTGTCGAGGAAGGAGTGGCCATGCCGGCGTAGTCGCCGGATAAAGCGCTTGGCTCGCAGCCGCAGTGTCTTGTCCGTCAGCTTCCACGGCCGAGCCCAGAACGAGGTAACGAAGACGCGCTGCTTGCTCACGTAGTCCACCACCACCTGGTGGACGGCCGGTCATCGATCAGTGCGTTTTCAGGCGGATAGGTGACGGCCCATGCAGCTCGATGCTCTCCGCGGCCTGTTACGGGCGTCATTTACTTAAGAGGTGTCAAAAGTGTGATTATCCGTGGCTTCATAGAAGCCGGATGTGTTGCATTATCACTTAAACCGCATACTTAATGCTACGGGCTACTAAGCAGATTAACTTAAGTTCAGTACCTGTCAATTTACAACCAGCGTTGACTCCATAACGTCGTTCAAACCAGGACATCCTGGTAAACTGAAGGTCGTTAACTCAACATAAGAGCTCTGAATCGATGAGTAAGCATAAAATTCAGCTTGCTTATCACACCAAGGAAGACTGAAAATTGCATGAGGTAGATGCTTTCAGCAGCAAAACCAGCGAAACAATCCACAATACAAAGCGAGAACAAATTATAGGGCCTGGGCGAAACATTGTAGCAAGCATGAATTCAGCCCTACGTATTTTATATCGGACTAGGACCTGGCTTATTGCATTGACCGTTTAGTTGGGCTTCTTTTGGCTGGTGCAGCTTATCCTCACTGAAAAGAACTGTCAGCTTTGGCTCACAAGAATTTGTCGGAATAGGGACGGACAGAGAACGGTGTCTGGACAAGTTGGCGTCTAGAAGAGAGAGAGGAGAGAGAGCATGAGAGGAGAGAGAGTAGAGATAGAGCAGCAGAGAGAGAGAGATTAGAGCAGAGAGAGAGAGATAGAGAGAGAGAGAGAGAGGTAAGAGCTGAAGATGAGAGAGAGAGAGAGAGACGAGATGAGAGAGAGAAGATAGAGAGGGGAAGAGAGGGGGAGAGAGGGGAGGGAGGGAAAAAAAGGAAGGAGGTCTCCCCGTAATACATCATTTTGTTTGTGGGCGAAAATTGGTCGTGACGCAGACGCCGACACCATACCAACATACACATGGTTTTGGCCACGAGATGATCGTTTTCGAGTGCTTGCAATAAACGAAAACGGCTTTCGTCAAATAATACATTCAGCCCCCTAGATTGTGCGGCTTTCTACCTAATCTCTGGAACGTGCTAATGCCCACGCCCTGTGCCGCCGCTTCGTCATGGGCAGCCCGACTTGACCCCGGCAGCGAGGGCGCCGCTCTGCAGCCCTCCCGGCCGTTAAGACCTGACCGTGGCAGGGGTCACCACTCGGCTGCAGCCGACAACGTGACGCCCATGACTACACCGTAGCGCTGGCAGAGCCGTGACAGACGCAGCGCGTCACGAACCAGTGACGTCACTGGCCGCGGCGGCGGGTACCGGCGGGGGGCGGCATGCCCTCCCGCAAAGGTGCCGGCCTGGCGAGTGAGCCGTCCTCATGCTATTGTGCACGTGCTGAGCCGTGAAGGTCGACAACAGACGGTCCATGAATCAGAGAGGCAGCCACGAGCGGCGGCGACGGCCGGGCCGCTCCGGTTTTGTAGCCGTCGTGCCAGCTGACGAGCGTGAGGAGGCCGTCGGTTAGAGACCGACATGGCGGGCCCCCGCTGGGCTTTGTTATAGCTTGGTTACGCACCCAAAATACCTCTTCTCTTCGACAAAAAGTGGGCCTGGAAGTTGGACTTCAGAAAGTCATGCTACGCCAGTTGCATCAGAACACAGCTCCGACAGTGCACCGCATTCACCCATAGCAACATCTATTTATTGATTCCGTATTCACAGCTCAGATCTCACCAGAGCCCACGGACAGCCTGCCAGCCCTGACTCCTATGGAAACGTACGGATCCCAGTGACGCCAGACGTGAAGCCCGGCCTGAGCTGCGCGCTCCGTGGTCACTGGTGTTGCCCAGAACGAACGAACGTGACAAAAAGTCAGGCCGCCCAGCCGCCCGAGACGCCGTCACGTTACAGCTGTGCTGACCCGCGTCGGCGAACGCCAATATTGGCTTTGGACGGCGGCGGGGTGGGGGCGGAACGCCGCTAGCTACAGGCTGTAGCAGCTCTCAGCAACCTTGTTCGCCGGTAAAAACATTTTAGGAGCGTTACCGATGCTGGGGACACTACGCAGCACCCACCCAACCCAAAGAGCATCGCCACATGCCTGGCAGGGATGCGGGCGCTGTTATGTGTTGACGTATCTGTCGTGCAGCGTCCGCAAACACAGACAACTGCGTCAGCGGTATACCTGAGCAGCGGTGCGCAGCATATACAGCTTGCAGCGGTGTGCAGGTACTGACGGGCCTGACGTCGGCCAAACACACACAACTGTGTCAGCGGTATACCTGAGCAGCGGTGCGCAGCATATACAGCTTGCAGCGGTGCGCAGGTACTGACGGGCCTGACGTCGGCCAAACACACACAACTGTGTCAGCGGTATACCTGAGCAGCGGTGCGCAGCATATACAGCTTGCAGCGGTGCGCAGGTACTGACGGGCCTGACGTCGCCAAACACACACAACGTGTCAGCGGTATACCTGAGCAGCGGCGCGCAGGCATATACAAGCTCGCAGCGGTGTGCAGGTGCTGACGGGCCTGACGTCGGCCAAACACAGACAACTGTGTCAGCGGTAGACCTGAGCAGCGGTGCGTGACATACATACCTGAGCAGCGGTGAGCAGGTGCTGACGGGCCTGCCGTCGGCCAAACACAGACAACGGTTCAGCGGTATACCGAGCAGCGGTGCGCGACCATACATACCTGAGCAGCGGTGAGCAGGTGCTGACGGGCCTGCCGTCGGCCAAACACAGACCAACTGTGTCAGGCGGTATACCTGAGCAGCGGTGCGCGACATACATACCTGAGCAGCGGTGAGCAGGTCTGACGAGGCCTGCCGTCGGCCAAACACAGACAACTGTGTCAGCGGTATACCTGAGCAGCGGTGCGCGACATACATACCTGAGCAGCGGTGAGCAGGTGCTGACGGGCTCTGACGTCGGCCAAACACAGACAACTGTGTCAGCGGTATACCCGAGCAGCGGTGCGCGACATACATACCTGAGCAGCGGTGCGCAGGTGCTGACGGGCCTGACTCGGCCAAAACACAGACAACTGTGTCAGCGGTATAACCCGAGCAGCGGTGCGCGACATACATACCTGAGCAGCGGTGCGCAGGTGCTGACGGGCCTGACGTCGGCCAAACACAGACAACTGTGGTCAGCTGTATACCCCGAGCAGCGGTGCGCGACATACATACCTGAGCAGCGGTGCGCAGGTGCTGACGGGCCTGACGTCGGCCAAACACAGAACACTGTGTCAGCGGTATACCCGAGCAGCGGTGCGCGACATACATACCTGAGCAGCGGTGCGCAGGGTGCTGACGGGCCTGACGTCGGCCAAACACAGACAACTGTGTCAGCGGTATAACCCGAGCAGCGGTGCGCGACATACATACCTGAGCAGCGGTGAGCAGGTGCTGACGGGCCTGACGTCGGCCAACACAGACAACTGTGTCAGCGGTATACCCGAGCAGCGGTGCGCGACATACATAACTGAGCAGCGGTGAGCAGCGGTGTGCAGGTACTGACGGGCCTGACGTCGGCCAAACACACACAACTGTGTCAGCGGTATACCTGAGCAGCGGTGCGCGACATACATACCTGAGCAGCGGTGAGCAGGTGCTGACGGGCCTGACGTCGGCCAAACACAGACAACTGTGTCAGCGGTATACCTGAGCAGCGGTGCGCGACATACGTACCTGAGCAGCGGTGCGCGACATACATACCTGAGCAGCGGTGAGCAGGTGCTGACGGGCCTGACGTCGGCCAAACACAAGACCAAGCTGACGGTGGCTCGCTGACGTTCGATGCAGTACAGATAGGTTATGGATTCACTGAGCCTCAAGGCGCATGGTTTGAACAAACGAAGGACGCATTAAATCTACCTCGTGACATGACCTGAAATGACCTACAATGACCTCACTGGAATCGGATCGCAACTGAATGGTGCCCATTGCCGCTTTCAACAGCGCTGCAGACGGTGACCGTGACTTGACTTGACCTAACCTGACCTGCCCTGACCTGCCCTCACCTGACCTGACCGACCCAGCTTGGACTTATCTGGATCGCGGCTGAATTTCCAGCAGCGGTGATGCATATAGCGTCCCTGACCTGACCTTTTTCTGACCTGACCTGAACTTACCTGGTTGCTGTTAAGTGACGGCTGAGTGGCGCCCTCTATCGGTGGCGCTTAGAATGTTCCCTGACCTAACCTAACCTGACCTGACCGGACGTGACCGGACGAGACCGGACCGGAGCGGTCCTAAACTGCCCCGACTGGAGCGCGGCCGGCCGGTGTCATCCAGCAGCGATATGGACATTTCACTCGACGTGGCCTGGAACGAGTGGGCGGCCGGACGTTGACCGCCAGCAGTGCTACAGATAGTGCCCTGACCTGATCCAACCTGAGCTGACCTGATTGGAGTCGGGCCGCGGCTGGATGGTGCCCTCCAGCAGGGGAACGGACACGCTGAAGTCCGCCTCCTGCTTCTGCAGGCCTGGCACGCGACCGTACCGGAGCTGGGTCACATGCGGGTATGTCTGGGGTAGCACCACCCCTGCAAGGAGACACACGTCGGCCGGTCGTGAGCGTGAGTCACGCTCTCAATGCAGCTTGACTGCACTCAGCAGTCAGCGCTACAGGCTCAGTCCAGCCTTGACAGCTTCAACTGGAACACCGTAAGAAGCGGCAAAGCTGCGGATGACGGATTAGTGTCGACAAAAATGCGCCGACGACATGTGCCGGTAGCCGAGTATGGTCGGACTTCATGCCACCACAATGGAGAGCTCACATTTTCTAGCGGATGAATGGGAATGGCACACAGTCATTGGTCAGCTAAAGGTCCGACAAGGTTGTACGAGACCACCGCGGTTGCGTGTCGTGACAAAAGAACACGTAAGTATGCACGTGCAGGATCTGGTACGAGCGTGCTTGCATGGCGTGGCCTGTTGTGGGCGCCGCACTCGCGATAGTAGATAGGACTGACTGGAAATTTGAGCGAGCGCACTTTCAATCCCACAGACAGCCTTGTGCTGTGTTGCAAGCAAAGTACTTATCAAAGCAGCTATCATCATCCTGTCAACAGATTGAATATCATGAAGTATACATCGACAAGCGCGTATCAGCGCATTGAACGACTTACGCAAGGTTCCGCAATTTTAGTTTTACGCTAGATAAGACGTACAGCAAGTCAACGATCGAAGCGCATCGAAAGGAGCATCCCACCTTCTAAGTACTTCCACACATAGTTTGGTCACACGGGTGCGATTTCATCGGTAATGCCAGCTTTCTTGGAATCTTTCTGAAACGTTCAGAAATTTGATTTCAAGTAACCGCTTCGACTGGAAAACCTCATTGGACTCCCTGCTCGCCACTATAGAAATAAATGATCCCTTTTTCTTTTGCTTTTTCCAACCTGTGAGCTATATGATATCCTCAATGCACCAATGCGCCAAAACCATTGTGTAATAAATGGTATAAGAGTTAGAAACCCTCTACTTAGGGAAAAAATATTATAAAGTGAATTCAATGAAACATCGCACTATGACTTTGATTTCCGCCTGATATGACGTTTAGTACGGGACTCGGCTCGAAGGGTATTCCGGGTAGTTTAGGAAGCAGTGTTTACTTGGATGCTTGTGTCGTCGAAGGTTGCGTTGGTAAGACAGATATACACCGGCGACATAACAACTGGTAAAGTGAAGCACAGCATGTCTCACCGCCGCTCTGCTCACCAAATGCTTACACAGCGCGCTTCGATAATAACAGACGTTCACATGTACTGACAACATTCAATGCCTTATTATACGCAAATGCAAAAGATGCTCATTTTCACATTCACGGTGAATAGAAGTATTACGCAAAATAAATGAATATGTTTTACTTCATTTTGTCATCAAATATTTTCATCCTGAGCATACCAGCTTTCCCCCACGTCAAGTCACTCACTACCGACTCTAACCATCATAATCATGGTATCACTAACTCATTTTCGCACTCATCCAAAAATGTTTTACTGAATTGAGCAAATATGCCTTTTTGGCCATTCTGTCTACTTTGCTTTGTCAGTGCACAATGTCAGCATGGCTCATTGCATAGATAATTGTCCTGGACGATGATTTGCAATTGAACCACAGTATGGAGACTGGAAATTGTGTTAATACTCAGAAGACATGTTCCACTGCTGTAACAATGTTCATAGACAGCAATTGACATCCTACAAGGTGTTTGCGATGTTCCCCTAAGCATGCGATGGCTGTCTTTCCAAAATATTTTATGGTAGTTACGGAACAACACCTGCACGTCATGTTGAAATAGTTTGTCAAAGACAGCAGTCGGAGGTTCTCATTCAACATCAACATAGCCACTGATGACTTCAAAGTAACAAAGGAACACGATGTTGTGTGTTGTACGCCTTGTGCCAATGAAGCGAGTCAAGTGTCCGATGTTTCTTCTACCCTGCGTTTTTAGCGAGCTCTGCATTTGGAAGCCTGGAGAGGTTCAGCAGAAATCAATAATAACGACAAGCATTCTGCAATAGGAGCGAATGAATCAAAAACAACATTATGCTGTGCGCGTGCCATCATTGTATTTCTTTAAAAAAATACTTTGCCGATTCAAGTAAATGTACTCATTTTCCTATTTTGTTCATGTTGCTTTGCCAGTAGAGTAAGCTGTATGGATAGCGCCAAACCTTGTGCTGGATGATTATCAGTGCACTTGAAGCACATATGTGGGGTCTGGAAAGTGTGTAGCTATTACCAAGATACTCCCAGTGTTCTACTCAAGATGTCATGGCTGATCTTCCCAAAATGATGGGTAACGATCTCAAGACAACTGCGGAGCACCGGGAAAAGCAACACCACGGCGCAGCACCACCGGGAGGAGCAGCACCACAGCGCAGCACCACCGGGAGGAGCGGCGCCACGGCGCAGCACCAGGAGCAGTATAAGGTGAGACCGGCCGGCCAAGGTCGCACACGGCGGCCCGTGTCCGGTGTCAGCCGGAGTTATTCAGTCAGCGATTAGCGGGAAAGGCAGCGACGGGCGGCCGCGCCGGCCTGAGAACAGACCACCGACGGGCGGCCGCGCCGGTCTGAGAACAGACCACCGACGGGCGGCCGCGCCGGCCTGAGAACAGACCACCGACGGGCGGCCGCGCCGGTCTGAGAACAGACCACCGACGGGCGGCCGCGACGGCCTGAGAACAGACCACCGACGGGCGGCCGCGCCGGTCTGAGAACAGACCACTGACGGGCGGCCGCGACGGCCTGAGAACAGACCACTGACGGGCGGCCGCGCCGGTCTGAGAACAGACCACCGACGGGCGGCCGCGCCGGCCTGAGAACAGACCACTGACGGGCGGCAGTGAGGCCCCCGACGGGCGGCCGCGCCGGTCTGAGACCAGACCACCGGCGGGGAACTGCGCCAGTCTGAGAACAGACTGCCGACGGGCGGCCACGCCGGTCTGAGAACAGACTCTCGGTCGTGCAGTGAAACCGCGCAATGCCGCGGCTGATGCGGGGTCGCTGCCTGCGCTGCTGCCGCCCACTGGGACGCGGCCGGGTTGGGACGGTGTAGCGGCGTCAGCGGCTGGCATTGGAAGCGTTGAGGGGGAGGGGTATATCGCTCAGCCATTACGCACTGCCGCCTGAGTTAGAGTGGGCGGAGGAGAAACTCGCCGGGAGCGGCGTTGACAGGCCGTTTGCCCGCCACGCCTACTGAATGACAGTATCAATTCATCTTGACGCTGAACTACTTACAGTGTCAACATGGGCGCTGTCGTAACAAGAACGTAATAAGGGCGTGTGATGTTGCAGAACTACGGCATGGGTCACGGCTTTCTCCTTACCTGGTGGCATTACGATCTTAATTTTCTTCCCTTAGATTAACATTTTGTGCTCGCCGTGACCGTGAATGCCCCGGCGCCCTTCTCGCCTTCCACATGCTCCCGGCAAATGGGTGCAATATCGATAAAAATTGTATTCGCGCGATGCAGATGTGATTACAAGATCTGCCACGTGTGTATGCATTGCATGCGCCGGTGCCATCGTGCGACCATTCACCGACAGCCCGACAAATCTGGATACAATGGTGTTACGAGTTACAGCCGTTGATAGGAAATCAACGCTCTCCAATCGAGCGGAACACGTCTGATTCTTGGACGCATGGCCATTGACTGGTGCTGCACTGCGTAGCACCAGCTCGGCTGCTGCACCGTTAAACTGCGCATCCTCTCAGACGCTCTCTCCACGGTCCAGCGGCCAGATCAAGGCCCTGTCAAGCACGCGTCAGCGCACTTGATGCCTACTGTTCCTGAGGCCTGTAAGCCCACTGTTCCAGAGGCCTGTCAGCCGGGAGATCTCACTTAAACAGATCCCCCAGACCCGTCACCACTGAACTACAGCGAGGCTGTGGGCGAGCCCCCCTCCCCCGGGGGCGGGACAGCCAGCCGGACCCCGGGACCGCCTCGGGGCTCGCCAGCTGAGCCGCTGACGTCACCACGGCGGCTGCGATTGACCGAGAAAGCAAACAGCGCCGGCGGCCGGGCGGCGGTGGCTGAGATGTCTGCGCCTGTCGATCGCAGCCATGTCCCGAGCCGTGCCGCCGCTGCTCCACTGTTATCCAACCCTCTGGCGCCGTGTCAGACGGCACCGTGCTGAAATCTCCCGGGCCTTTCCTAAGGGGAAGGAAAGCTGGAGGCCTCGTCGGCGGAGAGGCTTGGTGGACTGAGGAGTGCACAGTAAGACATGGCTGGAACTCTTTCTCAGTTTTCTGAGACATTTCACCGTGACTAATCTGAACGTGGATATATGCAAGGTCCGTATGGTGACCACCGTCACATTTATCACTCATTGATTACAGAGCATTGACCTGATCAACAACACGAGTTTTGTCACGTCATAAACTCCTCAGGGTCATTGCCATCGTCTGATGTCGTTAGCCGAAGCTGAACTCAGCCGACGTGTCTGCACCTCTGCACAGTGCGGAGTTCACCGCACAGCGCAGCACATTCTTATGCCACGTGCGAAACCTACCGTGACTGTTCCTGCCGCCGAGAAACTCTGCAATGCCAGCGCGCGCCTCCATCTCGGCCAGCAGCCGGTTTTCGGTGACGGTGACGTAGCTGACCCAGAGGGTGCGCGGGTACAGACGCACGTCGTAGCGGTTGGAGCGCGAAGCCAGCCGGAACGCCGGGCACAGCGGACCGCATGAGCTGAAGTCACTGGGTCGCGGACTGCGGCAGAGGTGAGCGGGTCAGCGCCAGGTCATGCCCCGCACACATCGGCAGGAGCGGCCACGCAAAGGGGTCAAGGCCAATGTGTGGGCACCGGGTTCACTACCAAATGGGTCAGGGTCGAGCAAGATGTACCTTTTTAAGAAGGTGAGCCATTGTGTTGCTACGTCGTTACGGCGCTAAGGAGTGCAAATGCGAGATTAGAAGTTGCACAAATATAAGCATAGCACGCGTCAGAACACAAGTGGTATGCTAGCTGTCGATACGACTCTGGGCTGCGGATGCTGGCAACACACTGCGTGTACTCGCACGTGATATCTAGCCAGCGCTGGGAATATGGCTCAACCGGTACCGTGTTTAACATGCCTCGCGGAACACGTGCTCAGCACAAACATGTTGAACGTTAACCGCAGTTATCAACACATGAACAGCGAGTGGGCCACAAAGAGGCACGCTCACTTTGTGGTTATTTCTGTACGGCTCTCTTGGCCCCGAGGCCGAGGAATAAAGTTATGTTTCGAGGAAGTGAGTCGCAGTAGCAGTTTCCAACACAGCGGGTGATAAACAGCGAGGGGCAAATGTTATCGTCTCAGGCGGAACGGCGAGTAAATCTTGCAAAGGCCGGGATCTCTCCCGCCATATGCAGGCAATTTTTGTAGTGGAGCTGTCTGATGTTGGGGCTTGGTTGTTGTGCTCTTCAGTAATCCATGCTGTTTTTGTGTTTGTGTGCCTTCGTTCCGCTGCTTTGATATTGCAATATCGTCCTTTGTGGCATGGTCGATCAGATACGACAGCCGCAAACAATGCCGGTCATCATTGTCACGCCCAAGTGTTGAGAGAGCCGCCAGCAAAGCTAACATTGGCTTTGAAGCGGGATTATCGCTGCATCCGGCAAGTCACACATCCAATGCACTTGGTTGAGTGCCCAGCACTCCCATGCCAGCATGAGCAAATTACCGCCACGGATCCCACCTGAAACCAAGACACGAATAGCCGTCGGCCTTGGCTGTGAAGTCATTTTGCGAACCAATGCTGTAAGATGCGAAAGAGGAAGCGAGAACAGTGCACCCTATCGACGATAATGCTTCTTTCCTCCCATTACTAGTGGGCGAACATACATGTGTGGTTTGCGTATGCATGTGAGGGTTGAGTGCTCTGCTTTCAGTTAACGAAAGCGAAGAAAGGTCTGCATGGCAGTATTTCAACTTTGATTGAAGACGTGTTCCAGGCAGGCCAGGTGTTGTTGCCGTGTTATCTATCGAGGCATGTCCAGTGTCCTAGAATTGCCGACTGGGTGTAAAGCAACACCCTATGAGGAGGAATTTTTCACTCCTTTTCCCCATGTTTTATGGGAATTTTTCACTCCTGCCTGACACTGTCTAATCGCGCATGCCGGACACATCTTTCCCTTTCTGACGTTTTCAGATGTCATGCAAAACCGAGCTCACTTGAAACCATCAAGCATAAACAAGGCTCCACAGAACCTGGACACCTATGGCTATGCCCTGCCTCACCTACATCTGAATCATGTCTATGTATGCACAGAGTAAGGGCGCCAGGTACCTTCAAGCCCAAGACCCCCCAGCGACTCCAGCCGCTTGCACGCATCAAGTTTGGTTTGTTTACAAAGTGCATCACAATCGGCAGCAGTGTGCCAAATGCAAGGTTTTCACGCATCTCCAATTTTTCGTCCCAGCGCCACACCGCGAAAGCAGAGCCCGGTGCAAACACCAGCAAGGCCTGGAAGAGAATTTTGCTCCACGTATTTCGTTTACCCGAAGAAACTTGACCATTAAATTGCATCACTCCGAGAATGCAGGAGTGAAAAATTACAAGATGAATATCACCATATGAGCACTTGTTTCAACATATTTTAAGTCAAATCAGCTGATAACAAAATTTTTCCAAAAAACTACCAGTCTATATTTATTTAACTACTTTTATTTTTCTTGGTATCATACGAGTGTAATACCACTTCATTCCTCCTTCCCCTCCCATTGCCTTTAGAGGTACCATCTGTTGCTTGAAATGCTGACCAATTTCTCTGCAAGACCCTCAAACTGCAAACTTGTTTGTACTTTATACATAAATTGGATTAATTCGCCAGCCGCCCAAACATATTTGATATGCACCCAAGAGTGAACAATTCACAGGGAATGAAGAAGACTTTGTTGGTTCATGGCGGTGCTCGATAATGATAAATATTAGCCTTTCGGGTGTCTAACTCACCAGGCCCCCTGACAAGACTATCCTTATGCTGTCATATAGAGCTTCGAAACAGAACTAACGCAGCTAATACAGAAGTGTTTGATGGTGAAACTCTGTCCTCCGGAAATGTTTATCATGCACACCTCTTACTTGTTTCGCATTTTAATCTCGTAGGTTGGTGGACGTGATTGCCATTTATGTTTGGGGGTGAGTGGGATGACTCTATCAGCAAAGTGTGCAAACTGTGGTACTGACTTTTTGTTGCGGGGGACCAGGAAGAACTGTGCCCCGAAAAAGCCAGTAAGACTCCTGTGGGCCAAGTAATTGCTTACCTTACATGCTTTCAACACATGATTCACAACCAGAGTTAGCCATTTTCTGTTTAAATGCATCGAGTTTCGTCATAAGACCAATTATGATGCCACAAGTCATGCAGTGGGGTTATTCTGTTCCATATTATTGATTTTTGCCCCCAATTTTGTGAAGTGGTCCCTCATGGTTGCTTTATTCAGATGTTTTCCATAGTTTGCATGGTTTGCTGACTGGCAAATGACTGTACTGTATATATGCACTATATTTTTAACACTGGGATACTCTAAGCTGCATAGAAATTTTAATATGAGGTAAATATCAGCATTAAGCAAATCGTCAGACCATCCCATTTAAAATGTGGTGCCAACATTTCAAACTATGTCGTTAAATATGAATAAACAAGCCTAAATAGATGCCTTTGCTGCAGCTGAAAAGGCAAGCAGCAAAACCGGCATCTAAAAGTTATGTTACTTTTGAGGAAGAGCGATTGTTTCGTGAAGCATACCCATTATTGCCCTTGACAGAGGCTAACCATGAAAATCAGAATAAGTTGTTCAAAGTGGTTTAAAGTGTTGTGTGATGTCAACTTTGTCTGATGTCAACAAGCATACACAAATGAATTGAATACAAATGCAAGTTGAAACCAGCCAAAAAATGAGCTTCATCATGTTGTTATCATAAGTGCTGCTGTCAACAGATAGGTGAGTTCGGATGATGTTCAACTTATGGGCTAATGTAAGTTAGGTTAAGTTGGTCAAGTGCATGGCAAGTGACAATAGAAATTGTGCAAGAATCACTAACTCACAACTGCTGCTGTGATACCAACAGATTAGACAGGATGAGATGAAGTAAGGCCTCTTTAGGTTAGGCATAGTGAGGCTACTTCCATGGAAAAAGTATTGGTATTTTGTAACAAACAGGGACAAAATGTTTGTTTTCCCTGACCCCATCTTAACAGAAGCAAGAGGTATGTGTATTTTGTTTGATTTGGAGATGGGCTGATGTGCAGGAGTCCAAGTTTTTTTTTGTTTGAGTGTTTTATGCTTGTTGAATTTTCTTTCGAGATGATGTTGTTGAATTCCTTTTCCTTGTTTGTGTTACAAATGCTGTGGAAGGGAAGTGCAAAGTACAGCGTCAAATTATTGGTGTTAATGAATTTTGTTATGCCCATTGCACTGTCATGAAGCTGCTATGCTTTAATGTATTATGTTTCACTTTAATGACCTAAGATGTTAAGAAACAAAGCAGTTTTGTCAGGTTTATGGTATTACGTCCATGCCAAAGTGAAATAGATGTCTTTGTTTGCTGAAGGATCAGCCACAAGCTCATAAGTTCCATCTTTTGTAAATTGAATTTTTCAATCCCGGACGGTTTTTTTGCGATGGAATTTTTCACTTCCATCCTAGTTCGAAAGCGATTCTAGCTCACTGGGCATATCACCGTCCGGGGGTACAGCAGAGCCCACCTCCCGGTCCAAGGTGTCGTCTATTATCCACCCGACAACTCCTCTCCCACGACAGACCAAAAAAGTATGTCTGATATTTGGGTGTTGAAAACGGTGTGTGTGGTCTGTTTCAAATAAGATAGCCGCGGGCCATGAATGATTTGTAGGATCCAAAGACCTATCGTTTGATCATTATGCAGTCAGAAACAGGGCGGACAGCACTGCAACATCACAGGCACACGCTGGATCGCCTAAGGAGAGCGCTACGCTCCTTGATGAGCTCTTTCTTCGTTTGATTCCTCATTTTGAGTTCCTGGCATTACCACATGGCATGCTATTTGATATCAGTTCATCACTCAAAAACTGTTTCGCCTACTCCAAGGCTATTTCTGCGAAGAAGAACAAAGGCTTTCATCATTGAGAGTGAGGTCAGATTACAAGCCACTAAAGACAAGGTTTAAAGAGTCCGTTTTATACCACTTGGCTTCCGTCAACGACAGGAGTTCTCCTAGTTGCCAGTCACAAAAACATCATCACGATAACTCTGTCAGGGTTCTGGGATCCCGAAAATGTACCTTCAAATTTCTGTCAACCAGGAGAACGTTTTCCGAATTGCACAGAACGATGTGTTCGCCTGCATAATGAGCCCTTGGACGCGATGTCTGACCTTGACCTCCAGCCATTGATTCAGTCAGGGTTCCCCACCAAACCGGCTCTGTCCCTTTAATTTTCCATATCATCAGGAGGGACCAAAACAAACACGACTTAAAATTACATTATGGTTATTTTGATATATAAGGTGCTTGTAAGATACCATGTAACGAGTAATATGGCATACTACTGTATTATTTAGTTGTTCTTGTCCACTAAACCACGCCTTGATAAAGCTCAATGTAGTTCAACTTATAACAAACACACAACATCTAAAATCAGTTTCGGGAGATGCTAGAAACAAGCAAAGACCATACCATATAAAAGCCACCGCGACGGCACGAATCATGTGCAGTCACGAACCCGGAACGTGCATGCTGCCCAC